TCCTTTTCCAAGAACACTCCCCTCTGGGGCTTCGGTCCATGCCGCCGGCTGCCTGCCTCGTCAGCTTGTTCGCCCAAGATGGCCCCAAAAGGGGCCCCAAGTTCGCTCAAGATGATCCAAGATGGCCTCCAGGTTCGCCCAAGATGGTCCAAGATGGCCTCGACGACGGGGCAAGCGGGTCCAAGATGCCTCCAAGACCGCACAATAATCCTCCAGGACGGCCCGAGATGGCCCAAGAGGCCCCCGCAAAGCCTCCAAGACGGCTTAAGAGGCCTCCAAGAGGTCCTCCAAGAGGGCCCGAAGAGGTACAAATCATTGATTTTGTTTTGGTTGTTTGAAGAATTCTGGAATTTGCTTCTGGTTGGCCTTCCGACGGCTTAAGACGGCCCAATAGCCCCCCAAGATCGCCCCAGTATGGCCCCCAAAGGCCTTGAAGATGACCCCAATGACGGCTCAAGAGGTCACCAAGACGAACCTAAGAGGCCCCCAAGCTCGCCCAAGATGCTTCAAGATGGCCTCCAAGACGGCCCAAGAGGGTCCAACATGACCTCCAAGACGGCCCAAGAGGGTCTTAGATGCCTCCAAGTCTCCTCCGATACGGCCTAGTCTATTCCAGGACGGCCAAAGATGCCAACGGCTGCCTGCCTCGTCGGCTTGTTCGCTCAAGATGGCCCCAAGAGGGTCCCCAAGTTCGCCCAAGATGGTCCAAGGTGGCCTCCAAGTTCGCCCAAGATTGTCCAAGATGGCCTCGACGACGGCCCATGAGGGTCCAAGATGCCTCCAAGTCAGCCCAAGAAGCCTCCAAGACGGCCCGAGAGGGTCCAAGAGGCCCCCCTAAGAGCCTCCAAGACGGCTTAAGAGGCCTCCAAGAGGTCCTCCAAGTGGGCCTGAAGAGGCCAAACTCATTCCGCCCAAGAAGCCTCCAAGACGGACCAAAAGGCCTCCAAGAGGCCTCCAAGACTGCCCATTAGGCCGCCAAAACATCCCCCCAGTCGGGCCCCAAGAGGCCAAAATCATGGATTTTCCTTTGGTTGTTGAAGGATGTTGGCATTGCTTCGTTTCGCCCTTCTGTTCCTTTGGTGTTTGAAGGATGTTGGCATGTGCTTCGTTTCGGCCTTCCGACAGCTCGAGACAGCCCAAGAGGCCCCCAAGATCGCCCCAAGATTGGCCAAGAGCCCCCCGAGATGGCCCCATGACGGCCAAGAGATCCCAAAGACGGCCAAGCCAAAGAGGCCTCCAAGACGCCCAAGGTGGCCTCCAAGACGGCCCTGGAGCAACCCAGGAAAGCTTCAAGTCGGTTCCGAGATGCCTCCAAAACAGTTTCCGACGGCCGAGAAACACCCTGAGATGGCCAAAGAGGCCCCAAAGAAACCCCAAAAGGCCCAAGGAGCCCCAAGATGCCTTCGAGAGGCCTCCAGGACGCTCCCAGGAGGTCCCAAAGGTGCCCCCAGAGGCTCCCAAGATGTCCCCTCCGCCTCCTCCTCCTGATCTTCCCCGTCATCCTCCTCCAAGGTGTCCCCGAAAGCTTTCCACAACGGCTGGGGGAACACATCGTCCGACAGCTTGACAGAGCTCTTGCCAAAACGCTCGGCCACATATGCGATTCCATAAGGCAGGGGGCTGCGGTGATTAGCCGCAAGCGTCTTCGATGGAGGTGCCACGGTGTACTGTCTCTGCTCTGGCCTGGAGGTGATCTTCAAGCTGCTCTGGTATAATCGTCGACTCGCCGTCGTGCAAACCTCGGCTCCCTCGCAGCCTTGCCGGGGCCTCATCCCCCGTCAGGGTCAGCGTAACTGGCCGAAAGGCCTCTCCAAGACGAGCTCCCCAAAATCCCGTTCCCTTCCTCGGGGCCGTTTTCCAATCCTGCGCCGTTTCTCTGACGGCCCAAGGCCCTGGAATCCTGTGGCCTCCCGACGCCGAACATGGGAAAAGTCTCCGGCTCGGATCTGATCAAGCCGCTGGAAGTCCTGGTTACCCATCGTTCGGAAGAAGTGGGCTTGCAAGCAGACTGGGTGTCCGCCAGCCCCCTTAAAATGACGGAGGATGGGAAACCCGTCGAAACTTGAGATAGGACGGCCCCCTCAGTGCAGACTGGAATCTGGGAGAGCAGATACACCTTCTCTCAACAAGTGATGGGGGCGTGGTCCCTGCCGGATTGCATTCCCAGGTGCAAAGAACCACTTGCAGACTGCAACTGCGGGGCCGTCGTCGGCAAACACCTGTCAATCGAAGCAATGTTCTGATGGTTTGACTTGCGCTCCACTGCGTCGAAACCTGCCCATGGAATTGGCAAACTGAGACTGAGCTTCGCACTGATCTGCTTCTCGGCGGCGCCTTTTAACGTACGGCTCCCAACGGCGGGCAACGCCTGCGTGAACGCTGTGCTGCGGCACCGGGCTCGGTGCGGGACCCCGATCCGCACCGCGCGCGGCACTCTCCCGCGGCGGGGTGTCCCGAACAACCCCCCCGGGGCAGCTGATCGAGGCCGGAGGTGTCCAAAGCCACCTCCCGGGGCAGCTGATCGAGACTGGGGGGTGCCCAAAGACACCCCTCTGGGGGCACATCGTAGGAACACAGTGGGAGCATGGGGAAACACCGTGGGAACAATAGGGGAACATGGTGGGAGCATGGGGGAACACAGTGGAAGCATAGCTGTCCAGAAATGTTGACAAAAAGCCTTTGGTTGTTCAGGGATCTGCGGGAGCATGGGGGAACACAGTGGAAACACAGGGGGATAGAATGGGAGCATTGTGGGAACACATGGGGAGCATCGCTGCCCGAGGGGGTGGTTTTTGGTCCCCCCCCCGCCTCGATCAGCTGTCCCATGGGGTGGTTTTGGCCCCCCCCCCGCATCGATCAGCTGCCCAGGGGGGCGGTGTAAGGCACCCCCAGCCTCGATCAGCCGTCCCGAGAAGGGGATTTCCCGCGGGAGGTCTTCGCTCACAGGCCCGCTCTGGGCGCCAGCCAGGGCCCGGGGGGCGCGACGACCTCAGGGGCCCATCCGCCGCCAGGACCGCATCACGCATCTGCCCCGACAGCTCGTCTGGGCATCGCTTCTGCAGTGGATGGCGGGGACGCGCGAAGCGTACCCGTCGGTCGGGAGACGTAGGTAGAAACATGAAGTAGGAAGGCGATGAACGTAGATTGGGTGTCCGCCCGCCCCCTAAAGAGGACGTAAAAGGTGAAGCCACTCGGTCGTTGAAGTATGAAGGCACTTAAAGTAGATTGGAGCCCGGGACTCCAAAAATACCTACTTTCAACGACCGACGGGTAATGTGCTCCCGCGTCTGGCGTTATTCTCCGACCCTTCCCGTTTTGCCTGGGATTTCTGGCCGCTTTGGTGTCCTCCGTCCCCCCTGCGCCTTGCCCATCAAACTCTCTTCAAGGCTCGGGGCCCGGCTGTGCTCCCAGCACTCCTCCGTCCCTGGAACCGCAGGCTCTGTGCCTACCGTCACAACCTGCGCAGCGCACGCACAACGCATGATGAGAAAGCTGTGCGCGCGTATGTTGAACTCCAGTCGCACGCATAAAACAATCCCTATGAAGGCACAGTTGGCCCCCAAACCTTTCCTTGCCGCCGAACCCCCCGAATCTGTTTCAAGCGTTTCTCAGGAAGCTAGCATGCAACTGCTGGACCCCCCTAAGGTTGCCCTTGGCTTTCGGGCCATACCTCGGCTCTCAGGCGCCTGTTCGGGACGATCTGGGCACCCCTGGAAAGCTCTCGGCGAAGCGCAGCCGCTGGAGCGCATCCCGAGGCTGAAAAAAGACGTCGCCGAGAATGCCCGAACACCTCGAGGCTCTGAACCTGGGGAAACCAACGAGTACCGATACCGCTGCTCCCTGGACCCCTCCCGCGGTGCGTTCTGACTAGAAATCCCCAGCGACTCCAGCAGTGGCGACGGGGGCCTCCCAGGAGGCGCCGACAAATAACGGACAGCGAGGGAGGGGCAGCGGCATCGGTACACCTCATCCCCCCCTCCGCGAGCCCATCCCCCCGTGGGGCTGCCCGTGAAGCCATCCCCCGCCCCCTCCCGCGGGAACCTGCTGGGACGGCGTGCGCGCGCCCGCCGCGCGGAGATGGCGCGCCCGTGCGCGGCGCCCGTCGCCCTTCACACGCCCTTTGGGGGCCGCCCCGCCCGGTCCGCGATCGACTTGTGGCCGAACCGCCCGTCCTCGAACGGGGTGTTGCCTGGCCACGGGCGCCGCCTCTCGCCGCTCCTCCTGGAGCGGAGGGGGGGGGCAAAGAGGGGGGCGTCCAAGAGGGGGGGGCGCAAATCATGGCCTGCGGCATGTGCGCGGCCCACAAGGGGGGCCCAGGGACGTAATGAAATAAGAAGAGGCGCCATGAAGCCTGAGGAAGAATCATGGCCCACGCCATGATATCCACCCCCCCCTAGTCATCACCCCCCTCTTGGCCGCCCCCGAGGAGCGGAGGGGGGGGTCGAGGTGCGAGGTGCGAGGCTCGAGGACCGGGGTCACGGGACGTGTCTGGGCGTCCGGCATGGGCTCGGAGGCCGGCCGGCATCCCACTGCCGCAGCAGCCCGCAGTATCCAACATTAACATAGCTGTCTCCGTCCGTCCGAGCTGTCGATGAGGAGGAGGAGGAGGACGACGACGACGAGGAGGACGACGAGGAGGAGGAGGACGAGGAGGACGAGGAGGAGGAGGAGGACGACGAGGAGGAGGACGAGGAGGAGGAGGAGCATGACTGTGGAAAGACCTCGCGGTGTCGATATATATATATATATATATATATATATATATATATAGATATATATATATATATACGGCCCACAGCTGTCGCGGGGAGTTGCTCCGACCTTGCAGCCCCTCAGGCAATGCTGCAGTGATATGATGTCAATAGTCCCTCGCAACTCGTGTCCGTTTTCTCATGGTCCTGGCCATGTGCCACTGTGCCGGCTGAGCCGGTTGAACGATATCTAACCCTAACCCCAAAAGAACGACCACCCATTTGGACATGCAGGGACCATTTGATGCCGCTACATGGTAACATCGGAACCACGTCCACGCCGCAGAAGGGTGGGGGGCCTTGAAGGGGCACGCCGCTCCTTGACCAAAAATCCTTGTCCCGACGATGTTTTGTCCCGATGATGTTCGGCCGCCGCGATCGCCGCGGCGACCTCCCGAACCTACCCAGAAGTTTGGCTCGGGATCGGATCTCACGCACCGACGACGACGACGAGCCGGTGGCCCCAACCTGCCGAGGGGTGAGCAGTGGCCCCCGTGCCCCGCGTCCACATCCTGCATCGCTGCCCGCTGGTGCGGAGAAGTAGTGTTAGGTCGGGCATGTCCTCCTACAGGCGGATTTCGGACGAAGATTAAGTAGTCGACGGATAATCAAAAATGGTCAACGTAGAGGAGGGGGAACTATGCACATACAACGATTCTGACAAGGCCAATCCTGAGCCCGGGATCGGTGCATACGCCCTCCTGCATTTGCCAGGAAGACATAATTATGCACCGATTCTGGGCCCAGGATGGGCCTGGCCAGGACTGGTGCATGTGCATGGTTCTCTTCGCCCGATCAACGGTGGTCAGAAGATCGTCCCCAGACTATTCTTTCACAATTTTTTAAATGCCCGACTGAAAGTTAGGGCCCGATCGGCAGCGGATCGCGTCGTGCCGGCCGAGATCGGCCTCGAATCGGACCGATCGGGTCGAAACGGGCCCAAGGAGGGGGCGGCAGCGCCGGGCGTCTCGGGGCTTGCGGACCGCAGGGCGTCTGAGCGTGGAGACCAGAAGGCACCTACACCGCTGCTGCCTGGACCTCTCCCGGGGTGCGCTCTGACCAGAATATCTAAGCGAATCTAACGGCAGCGAGGAGGGCCTCCCAAGAGGCCCAACAAGAGGGACACGAAAGGGCAGTGGTATCAGCATATTCTCCTCCTCTGAGGCTGAGGGCGCCGCCCTCGAAGGCGAAGTTTGCGTTCTCCTCCAGGTCCCAGATGAAGGCCTTGGGGCCGCGTCGGGCGAATGGGCGGAGCGGTGACACGAGGCCCGAGGCGATCAACCGGCGCTGTCGCTGGAGAGTCCCACGTCCTCCTGCTCCTCTTCGGTGGCAACTCTTGGGAACCTCACATACCATCTCCTCGACTTTTACACATCGACGCTAAGTCGATGCTAATCGACACCAGTTCAGCGCTATCTCATCGACAACCAGACGCTAGTCGGCGCGGAAAACCAAATTAAGAGGACACACAAGGCTCCCAAGATTTGCTACCAAACGTCGTCGTACTCCTCCTCGTCGCTCTCCTCGCCGTTCTCATCCGCCAGAGTTTCCCTGAGCGGGGCGCCGCATTTCTCCCGCAGACGGTCTTATTGCGCTTTGGATTCAATCATGATTGATGCCTTGCGCGTGTGTTTTTTGTTTAATCTTTCTCTCTCTCTCTCACTCTCTCTTTGCCAGACGGGTGCTCTCGTTGCAGCGTTGGCTTCAAATCAGGACCAGCGCCCTGTCCCCGTCATCCAGATTGGCGCTCTCGCCCCAGCGCGGATCACACTTCCAGGGTCCGACTCCTTCCTCGTCGTGGCCGCCCCCCTCCTTTCCCCTCCACCGCCTTCTCCCTTGGCCCTTCGGCCTCCCCCCCCTTCCTCCTGCTCCTGTTCCTTCTGCGCCTGCTGCTCCAGTTGCTCCTCCTCAACCTTTCTCATCCTTCTCATCTTCCTCATGCTCATCATCATGCTCATTCGCCACCTCCTCGAATGTACAGAACTCCGCGCTCTGATTGCGCATCCCACGATGGGGTCACGTTGGGGATCCAGGACCGCTACGCAGCAGGAGGAGGAGGGAGGACGGGTCGCCCAAGCCCTTCGGAGAAACCCCCCAGTCCGCGGCCACGAGGCCCCGATCCACGCTCCTGCATCCACGAGCCCCGCTGAGAGCAGAAGAAAAAACTGTGGGCCCGTGCTCACCTCCAGGACGGCCGAGGCAGGCCGCCCAGGCCGCCCCCCAAAAGTGGTCTCGACGAGCTGCCTCCAAGACCGGGGGGTGGAAAGGGGGAACGAGGCACCGAGCGCGACTTTCTCGTGCCCCTGGTGGGCCTCGGGGGGCATTTCAAGGCCCCGAAGGTGCCCCTGCTCTGCAACCTCCGATTTGTTCGCTCGTTCTCGGCCTCACAATCGTGATGCGCCCCCGCTTCTGTGCGTCGCAACCCCGACGCGCACCGCTTGTGCTTCCCATGCGAATTTCCGTACACACGCAGTCAACATGCTGCGGTTTCCTTGCATGTCCCGGAGAGTTGCCAATTGAGCACTCTTCTCGCCAACGCGTCCTTCTGGATGCTAGGCTTCAAACAGGCAGTCAACCCATCTGTTGGCGAGACCAAAAAATACCAATGCCGCTACTCACCGAACCTCTCCCGGGGCGCGCTCTGACAGGGATTTCGAAGCGGATCCAGCGGTGGCGAAGAAGGCCTCCCAGGAGGCCCAAAGAGGAGGAAACGAGGGAAGGGTAGCTGCATGGGTAAATTTCCCTCTGATGTATCGCCCACCTTGGTCAGCGTCCATCTTAGTCAGCGTCATGTTGTGGATCCTCCTCGCGAATCGGCGACGGCCGACATGGACAATGACCAAGCTCGCACCGACAACATCCCGCGATATCGGGGTCATGTAGGGACCGGACTCTGTATACCGACGCTGTTTTTCTGGCCCTGCACTGAAATTTCCCCAGGAAAATGGATCCTGGCGTATACGGGACCCTGGCTTATACATGTTTCGTTGTTCCCCTGGGGAACGGATTCAGAATTCTATGCCACACCACCCCGACGTCGTCCCCGACACCCAAGAGTCCTGGGATTGAAGCACAGCCCGCCACTGGTATAGCGTATATGTTCCAATTTCCGATCGTGGTACGCGTGTTTCTTCCCTCGGAATGACCGCCCCCCCATCACGCGACGCCCGAGCGCGGAGGACCCAGGCACGTTCGACCTGCCGCGCGCCCACCAAGCATACAGTCAACCCGTACAGTCGAGGAGTTGACCTAAGGAACCCTAAATAAGGAACGAGGCCCCTTTCTCTCCAGAAGTTAAGCTTCGATTTCGCATCGAAAACTTAAGGAAAATCCAAGGCAAGCTGCGAAACAATTAAGGAACACGGAGCCCCTCCCCAACCAAAAGGGTTCCTTCTTCAGGGCCCCGACTGTATCATACAGATGCACGGTGGGGTGCAAGGGCCTTGGAAGGCTGCTTCGAAGCTTTTCGAGCAGGGCGCGGCCAGCGAAAGTGGCCAAGACAGGATCGAGGAGTCAAGGATGCCAGGGTACCCTTGGGAAGGTTGCCCATCCTTGCTATGCGGGTTGACTGTGATGGACAACGCTGCTGTGTTCTGAATCCCCGTGCCCCCCAACTACAGTGTTGAAACTGGGATTGCCTTGGCGGTGGAGTTTGGGGTGGTTTTGTCACGCCGATGCTTGCATTAGGTCGGGCATGTCCCCCTACAGGGCGATTTGGGGCGAAGCATTAACAATACCTAAAACACATTCCCCAAATGCTTAAAAATAGTCAACAAATCGTGCCCAAACTATTTTTTGCCTTGTTTTGGATATTTGTAGAGGGACATGCCCGACTTAATGCTTGCACCCCGACAGCGGGTGCGAACGCAACATCGAAATGGGGGCGTCCGGGGGCGGAGCCGTCGACGCAACGGCTGTAGATGGGCGTGTTCTACGCACACAGCGAAGATCCAGCATGAGCTCGAGAGGCAGGGGGTCGCTTCGGAATGTGCATTGGATCGGGCCGCATCGCCACGGAGTCGAGACCGAATCGAAGCGGCCGCGCCGGGATGCTCATCAGGATGGGGGGAGCGGGTCCTGAGGGAAACTGGTCCTCCTACTCCTCCACCTCCTGGTATTGTCCATAGGGGAACAAACGCCGCAACGGGGAAGCATCGCCGCCGCCGCGGTGCGCTCAGCCGAAAAGGTCGAAGACCACGTCCTCGTCCTCCTCCTCCACGGCCGCGGCCTTCCTCTCCTCCTTCTTCTCGCCGCCGCCCGCCGCCGCCCGCCGCCGGCGCTGCAGCCACCGGGTTCGCCGCAGCGCACGCCTCGGGGTCCTCCAGGAACTTCTTGACAGGCTCCATTTCCTCCTCCCCCTCCTCCTCCTCCTCAGCGGCCGGCTCCAGGGCCTTCTCCTTCTGCGGCGGCTTCTGGCGCGGCGCCTCCTCCTCCTCCTCGGCGGGCTCCTCCTTCCTGGCTGGACGGGCAGGGGGCCTCTGCGGTCTCCTCCTGGCCTGCTGCCGCCGGCCACCGGCTCGTCCTCGTCCTCGTCCTCCTCCCCCTCCTCCTCCTCCTCCTCGACGCTCGTCGTGCGTTGCCTCCTGGCCGTCGTCCCGACAGCCTCCTCTGGGCTCCCGCAGCCTCCCTGCTGCCTCCTCGTGGTCTCGTCGTCGCTCTCCAGCCGCTGCTCCTCCTCCTCCTCCTCCTCCTCCTCCTCCTCCTCCTCCTCCTCCTCCTCCTGGTCGCCGCCCTCCGCGGGGCTTCCTCAGCGCCTCTCCGCTGCCTCCGCATGGCGTCGTCGTTGTTCTCCTGCAGCTCCTCCTCCCTCTCTTACCCCTCCTCCTCCTGGTCGCCCTCCCTCGCCTCGTCGCCCTCGGCGCCCGCCGCCCGCCCTTGCGCCTCACGCGACGGCCGCCGCCGCCGCCGCCTCCACTGCAGCCGCCGCCGCCAGGCGTGCCGGGGTCGCCCCGGGCCGCGGGCGCTGCAGGCGCTGCAGGATGGCCCGCGCGTTCTCCCTGTGTAGGGAGATGGAGAGTCGCTGGGCCATCCTGTCCGCCGTGCTGGCGGCCTCCTCGCCGCGCGCGTCAGCCGCGCGCTTAGCCAGCACGGCGAAGGCGCGCCGCGCCTCGCCGCCCCAGCTCCCGCCGTGCGCCTCCACCACCATTGGGATGAAGGCGAGGTCCGCGTCGCGGCAAGCCTGCGCCGTGCCCTGGTGCTGCCGCTTGTACTCCTCGTACCTGTCGAGGGCGGCGGCCGGGTCAGCGGCGGAGCGCGCGATGAGGTCCGCGCGCAGGCCGGACGCCACCGCGAAGTCCAAGGCCGCCGAGAGCCCGCCGCGCCACCGGGGGACATAGACATCCGCTGGCCGGCGGCCGTCGTTGTCTAGTCCGTCGCCGTCGGGCCCCTCGGCGTTCGGCCCCTCGCCCGGCGCCCGCGGCGGCAGCAGTCCGGGCCGCTCCAGCTCCGCCCCCGAGAAGCCAGCGGCCTGGGCGGCAAAGAAGGCGCCGTTCCGCAGCTTGTTGTGGCGGCGCGTGCGGTCGCCCTGGCAGGCGCACGTCAAGGCGTGGTCGCAGTACACGTCCATGACTTCCCCGCACGCTGGGCAGAACGCCTCCTCGTCCATCAGCTGGACCCGGAGCCGTCGCTTGATCCCGATCCCGATCCTGGTCCTCGTCCTCCTCTTCCTCCTCCTGGTCCTCCTCCTCCTCCTCCTCCTCCCTCCCCCAAGAAGAGTTGCTCACCCCGAATCGTTCTCTGAGAGTCCTGGGGCCCGTGGAGGGGCCCAGGAGCCCGAAGACGGCGAAAGCCCTCAGGACCCGCTTTCCCAACATGGCGATTAACAGCGCCACACAAGCATCGGGCCGCATCGGGCCGCCAGAATATCTGAATCGAATCGGATCGGGCTGGCTGAGATCGATACCGAAGCGGATCGATCGCAGATGGGTATCGCTTCGGGGGGCGTCGTCGCAGATAGTGTCGTAGTTTCCGTTGTGCCGCCCTCGTCGTCATAGTCGTCGCCGTGCTCGTCGTGGCCGTCGTCGACCTCATAGTCGTCGTCGCCGATGGCATCGTCTTCGCCGTCGTCGTCGGAGTCAGCCGTCGTCGTCGTCGTCAACACCATTGTCGACTGCGAGAGAAAGATAGAGAGAGAGAGAGAGACCAGCATCCGTATAGACAGACAGATAGGCAGACAGACAGACAGACAGACAGACAGACAGACAAACAGACAGACAAACAGACAGACAGACGGGCACGCAGACAGACAGGCAGGCAGACAGACGGGCAGAACGTCGACAGGGGAGCGGCAAGAGAGGCGGCGTGCCCTGTCCACGTGGTGCAGCACCTCGGGCTGCAAGTGGCTGAACGCGGCCGCGCAAAAGAACCTCCCCCGGGCCCAGCTCGTCGTCAGCCGTCAGCCTCCGGTTCCTCCTCGTCGTCCTCCTCCCCTGGCCCCACGAACGCCCCGGTCCCGCACCCTCCCCCGCTCCACCTCTCACATGACCCTCTCGCCTCCCCCTTACCCCTCCTAAACCTCCAAATCCAGTCGGCCTCCAGATTCACCTCTGACTCCTCCTCTGCATCCACCTTCGCCTCTACTCCGCCTCCTTCTCCTCTTAATCATTCGCATCCGCGCATCCGCCTTCGCCTCCACTCAGCCTCCTCCTCCACCTTCGTACCCTCTTTTCTCTGCCAATGTATCATCCTCCTCCTCCTCCTCCTCCTCCTCCTCCTCCTCCTCCTCCTCCTCCTCCTCCCCCTGCTCCTCCTCCTCCTCCTCCTCATCATCATCATCATCACCCTCCTCCTCCCTCCAAAGCCCTCGTAGCTCCTTCGAGTCGTTCCCCCCCCACCCCCCTCCCCCCCTCAAGCCTCCTTCCCGGGGAAAGGACCCGAAAAGCCAAGACACACCGAGTGCCCCTGGCAGGTATTCACCTCAGGCGGGGAAACCTCACTCCCCGACTACTCGATGGCTGCTTCATGCCGTCGGCCCCCCCCCACAGGGGTTCATTGTTCCAACCGTTTTTTTGTACTTGTCTGTAGGCCAGATCCTGGGTCATGCGCACCGAGAACCTCGCCATCGCTCGGACGTCCATTTCCTGTATTTTGTTCGGTGTCGTGCGTGTTTTTTTTTGTTTGCCAAATGATCAAGGATGCTCCTCGATGGTCCCCACAGGGGTTCATTTTTCCAACCGTTTTTTTGTGTGTTTACTTGTCTGTAGGCCAGATCCTGGGTCATGCGCATCGAGAACTGCGCCGCCAACGAGGTGTGGGGAGGGGCTATTTCTACGCGGGCCCCCGAGAGTACATGCTTATGTGACTTGCTGTTCCTCGAAGTCTCCCCCTCCTTCTCAAACTCTCCTCCTCCTCCTCCTCCTCCTCCTCCTCCTCCTCCTCCTCCTCGTCATTCTCCCCCTCCTCCTCCTCCTACTCCTCCTCCTCCTCCTCCTCCTCCTCCTTCCCCTCCGATTCCTCCTTGTCCCTCCCTCCTCCTCCTCCTCCTCCTCCTCCTCCTCCTGCCCCTCAAACTCTCTCCCAGAGCCCCATCGCCGTGAGACCCATCGCGTGGACCCTGAACAATGAAATCTTGCATACTTGATGCGCGCTCCATGGGACGAGCCTGTGGGATGCCCTTGCACGGTTTCCCCGGAGGAGGAGGAGGAGGAGGAGGAGGAGGAGGAGGAGGAGGAGGAGGGAGGAGGAGGGAGGAGGGAGGAGGAGGAGGACGGGTCGCCTAAGCCCTTCGGAGAAATCCTCGAGATCCCCTCAATTATGCAGTATTTGAGATCGTCGACTCCGACGCTCGGGGGCGCGCCGGCCGCACAGGGCCCCCCCCCCCGAATCCCCCCATCCCCACGCGCACCGAGCACCTCCGGGGCAGGCAGGTCGATCCTGGCAAATCCTGGGCGTTGGTGGCGGTGGGCGGGGAGGAGGGAACGTCGGCGGCACGCGAGGGGGGGAAGCGAGAAGCAGAACACCTTCTCAGGAGGCGGCGGGGCCTCTCAGAGGGGCTATGGCCTTCTGAGGAGATTTCTGCGTCGTCGGGGACGGCTCAGAAACTTCTCAGAAGGCCGGGGGACTTGTGTAACACGTGGGACAAACTGCGAACACTGGGAGCCCCTTTGGCACCCACACGACGGAGACCCATACGGCCCCCATGGGAGAATACTTGGCACCGATATGCCAAGAGAGTGGTGGACTACCAAACGAGGCCCTGGGATACCTTGGAAGCCCCACGGCCCGGTAAGGCACGGCTCTGGGACCAGCGGGGCCAGAGCCGCCCGAACCGCCCCTCGGAGAGAGAGGCCCGAGCCCCAGAGCCGTGCCGCCGCCCGGAACCCCCACTGACTCACTGCACGGTGTGGACACCCCACGGTTTGGGGGCGCCCGGTCCATCGTCGACGACGGCGGCGCCTCGTGGTGTGGACACCCCACGGTTTGGGGGCGCCTGGTCCATCGTCGACGACGGCGGCGCCTCCGTCCAGGAGAAGCGAGCGGAGTGCACATTGAGCTTTCGGGGGCCCACGCGAACCGACTGTGCTGGCGCTGGGCCCCCGGGGCACCGGCGCGCGGAGCGCGCCGGGGGGCTAGTGCCGAAGACTATGGTGTGTGCCGTTGTGGCTTCGTCGGTCGTCCTCCTCCCGTCGCTTCCTGCTTCAATAGGAGGGCCCCAAACATACACCAACACCGTTCCTGGCCCAGGATCACCCTGGGCCCAGGATCGGTGTATACGCCCTCCTGCCTTGCGCAAGAAGGCATGTACACCGATCCTGGGCCCAGGGTGATCCTGGGCCAGGATCGGTGTTGGTGTATAGTTGGTGCCCACCGGTTAAAGTGCGTCGCTCCCGTCGAAGGTGCACTAACTTGATAGCCCGCGCTGGCGCGAACCTGGGTCGGCCAGGGCTCTGCCGCGAAGCCCGGCCAGCCGCGCAGTGGCTTTTAAACTCGGGTCCGCGGAGGGCGGAACGGGGGATTCGGCCCAGCGTGGCTCCCGAAGCTGGGTCAGCCAGAGGCGATTGGCTGACCCAGGTTAGCGCTGACCCCGTTTCGTGAGCCCCGACTAGAGGCCTCCCAGGTCGGAGATGGAGTCGGAGGATCGCGCCGACTCACCGATGCATCGCCGATGCAACGGCAATGAATTGGTGATGCACTCGCAACGCCGGCGTGGAGAACATCGAGCTCCACATCGAGCCGCAACGCCGATCCCTGGGGGGCGCGGCACGATCCTCCGACCACATTAGCTCGGATCCCATCTGGGAGGCCTAGACTAGAATAGTGAACAACGCCATAAACATAAACTTTTGGCGCTCGGCGCGGATTTCTTGGATCTGCGCTGGGTCCCCCCTCCCTGGCGCGCGGAGCGCGCCAGAGGCGGCGCCAGAGGCGCCGCTGGGGAGGCCCAGCGCGGGTCCAAGAAATCCGGGTGGAACGCCGAAAGTGCAGGTTTATGCCGTGTTCTCTCCCTCGAAGTCTGGAGGGCCAGGCCGATCCCCTCCCCTCCCGGCCGCCCCCCCCGGGCAGGAGGCACGCGAGCAGCAGCATCACGTAGGGCAGCGCGCAGCACGCCTCGGCCTGTCCGCGCCGCTGGGGCGCGCGCGCCCAAGGCCGGGGCCCTGCGGGACACACAGGGCGGGCGGGTGGGGCGCGCCCAGAGAGAAGAGGGCTTGGGGGGGAGACAGGGAGGGAGGACGGAGGAGGGGGGCAGATGGGAGGAGGAGGAGGGAAGAGGAGAGGAGGGAGGCAGATGTGGGGCGGGCAGGCACCAGGGAGGCAGGTCGGACGAGGAGGGGGCCGGCAGGAGATGAGGAAGAGGAGGGGGAACAGAAATGGGAGCTGATGAAAATTGAAGGCTGCGTACCGCGACCGCCATTCCCACCGTGTGCCCGTGCTCCCTGGGGATCACGCCTCGCGTTCTCGAGTCGGGATCGTTCGAAAATCACTTGTTATGTGAGGACATTATTTTCTTACTGATATTCTTTATGCGTGTTCTTATTATCAGTAATGTTAGGATAATTATTAACGTGATGCTTACCATTCGTATTAGTATTGCTAGTCTTGTTCTTATTATTATATGTGTTAACATCGTATGAACGTGTATACGTAGGTCAAAATCCGCCGACCCTGTGTCGGCGTGTGTAAGGGGATTGTCCGTTCCTGTCGTTCGTTCGTCGTCGTCTCCGTCGTCTCCTGTCCCTGCGCCCACCCTTTCCTTGGCCCAATCGTCTCCTGTCCCTGCGCTCCCCCTCTCCCTGGGCCCGTCTCCCCTCCTCCCCTTTTCCCCTTCTTCCCTGGGCCCGTCGCCGCTCCCCCCTCCGCTTTTCCAGGGCCCCCCCTCAAGAGCAACGTTGTCACTGAGTCGAAGGAAAGCCCCTGCCCTTTGATCCCTTCGCTGCTGGTGGGGGGGGGTCTCGGGGCCCGCACAAACTCAGACGGGCCATCGAGGCGAGGCATTCTACCACGCCCCGGCCCCGGCCCCGGCCCCCGTCCAACCCCAGCCCCAGCCCCGGTTCCGCTTCCAGCCCTGGCCTCGGCCGGTCCCGGTCCCGGTCCCGGCCCCGGCCCTGGCCCTGGCCCCAGTCCTGGCCGACCCCGTCTCCCGCCCCGCTGACCTTGGCCCCGGACACATTCTGGGCCTCGGCCCCGGTCCTGGCCCTGGCCCCCAGCCCTGGCCTGGCCCCAGCCCCGGCCCTGGTCCCACAGTCTCGGCCCCGGCCCCGGCTCTGGCCCTGGCCCTGGTTCCCGAACCCGCGTTGGCCCCGGCCCTGGCCCAGGTCCCGGCCCTGGCGCCCTCCAAGTCTAACTACAACTCCGTGGCCTCCCAGATGCCCAAGATGTCGAATCTAGCTCTGGAACAGCGAACGAAGCCTGGAAGTCGCCCCAAGAAGGCTCCAAGATGCCCCGAATGGTCCTGATGGGTAACCAGCGTCGTCGCCGACATCGTTAACATCTTCGCCATACCTCCCTCGCCACGCTCTACTCGCCCCTGCCCTTCCCCCGCGACCCTGCTCGCCTCACTGTCTCCTATTCATTCCACCCCTGTGCTCCTACTCCTCCTCATCCACCTCTTCCTCCTGTCCCCCTCCTCATCTTCCTCCCCATGCTCCGCGTCCTCCTCCCCAACCTCAGGGTCGGCGGCACTGGCCGTAAGGCCTTCGCAATAGATCGCCAGGCCCCTCCAGGGGTGCATCCTCACCAGTTGCTCAAGCCACGTTCAACCGCGGCGACGAAGGGGGCCCCCGAAAGCCAACAGCTACGACTGACATTAACAACACTAAACGACAACGAGAGCCCCCGAAGGCCAAACATTATGACACCGACAACCAAGAACGAAGGACAACACGTTGGCTACCCCGGGTGCGCGCCACAGGGATGGAGGAGGATAGAAGCCTCACAGATGGGGCTAACTATGTTGTTCCCATCCTACTTAAAAACCACATCCCAGAAATAATTTCGAGCACCCGGAAAAGTGAAAGAGTGTCGAAACAGTGTCGGGCGAGTGTCTCCCAGGGCCCGACACGTGAAAACCCTTGGATTTCGGTACTTTTTCTGGCGCTCGAAATTCTTTCTGGTGATCAAGGCTAAAGTAGGTTGAAACATCATAAAGATGAGGTCGGAGTAGAGGGGGTCGGAAGATCGCGCCGCAGCGCCGATGCATCGGTGATGCCTCGTCGCCGCGAGCGATGCATCGGCGATGTCGACGTGGAGAACATCGGGCTCCACGTCAAGGTGCGACCCTCCGACCCCATCTGCTCCGACCCCAACTGAGAGGCCGAGGGAGGAGCGGCGAGGGGGAGGAGGAGGAGGAGGAGGAGGAGGAGGAGGAGGAGGAGGAGGAGGGGAGGAGGAGGAGGAGGAGGAGGAGGAGGGAGGAGGAGGAGGGAGAGGAGGAGGAGGAGGAGGAGGAGGAGGAGGAGGAGGAGGAGGAGGAGGAGGAGGATGGAGGAGGATTGTCACGGCTGCCGTTTAAGGCACGGGTAATGTTTTACCGCTTCGTGCCCTAACAATGGCGGCATGCTAAACCACCGCATGAGGGTTCAGCGCATGAAGGGCCAATGCCCCAGCATGAGGGGGTCAACGCATGAGGGGCCAATGCCCCAGCATGAGGGGGTCAGGGCATGAGGGGCCGAAGCCCCAGAATGACGGGTCAACGCATGAAGGGCCAATGCCCCAGCATGAGGGGTCAAAGCATGGGGGGTCGAAGCCCCGGCATGAAGGGTCAACGCATGAAGGGGCAATGCCCCAGCATGAGGGGGTCAACGTATGAAGGTCCAGCCTAAGCCCCAGAGGGTCAGGGCATGAGAGGCTGGAGCCCCAGCATGAGGGGGTCAACGCATGCAGGGCCAATGCTCCAGCATGAGGGGGTCAACGCATGAAGGGCCAGCCAAAGCCTCAGCAAGAGGGGGTCAGAGCATGAGGGGCCGAAGCCCTGGCATGAGGGGTCAACGCATGAAGGGCCAATGACCCAGCATGAGGGGGTCAACGCATGAGTGGCCAGCCAAGGCCCCAGCAAGAGGGGGTCAGGGCATGAGGGGTCAACGCATGAACGGCCGAAGCCCTGGCATGATGGGTCAACGCATGAAGGTCAATGCCCCAGCATGAGGGGGTCAACGCATGAGGGGCCAGCCAAGGCCCCAGCATGGGGGGTCAGAACATGAAGGGTCAACGCATGAAAAACTGAAAGGCCGAAGCCCTGGCATGAGGGGTCAACGCATGAACGGCCAATGACCCAGCGAGAGGGGGTCAACGCATGAGGGGCCAGCCAAGGCACCAGCATGGGGGGTCAGGGCATGAGGGGTCAACGCGTGAAAGGCCAAAGCCCTGGCATGAGGGGGTCAACGCATGAAGGGCAAATGACGTCAGAAAGAGGGGGTCAACGCATGAGGGGCCAGCCAAGGCCCCAGCATGGGGAGTCAGGGCATGAGAAGTCAACGCATGAAGGGCCAATGACCCAGCATGAGGGAGTCAACGCATGAAGGGCCAATGACCCAGCATGAGGGGTTCAACGCATGAGGGGCCAGCCAAGGCCCCAGCATGGGGGGTCAGGGCATGAGGGGTCAACGCATGAAAGGCCGAAGCCCTGGCATGAGGGGTCAACGCATGAAGGGCCAGTGCCCCAGCATGAGGTGGTCAACGCACGAGGGGCCAGACAAGGCCCCAGCATGCGTGGTCAGGGCATCAGGGGTCCACGCACGAAAGGCCGAAGCCCTGGCATGAGGGGTCAACGCAAGTGCCAATGCCCCAGCACGAGGGGGTCAACGCATGAGGGGCCAGCCAAGGCCCCAGCAAGAGGGGGTCAGGGCATGAAAGGCCGAAGCCCCGGCATGAGGGGTCAACGCATGAAGGGCCAATGACCAAGCATGAGGGGGTCATCGCATGAGGGGCCAGCCAAGGCCCCATGATGGGGGGTCAGGGCATGAGGGGTCAACACATGAAAGGCCGACGCCCTGGCATGAGGGGTCAACGCATGAAGGGCCAATGCCCCAGCATGAGGGGGTCAACGCATGAGTGGCCAGCCAAGGCCCCAGCATGGGGGGGTCAACGCATGAAAGCCGAAGCCCTGGCATGAGGGGTCAACGCATGAAGGGCCAATGCCCCAGCAAGAGGGGGTCAACGCAAAGGGGCCAGCCAAGGCCCCAGCATGGGCAGGGCATGAGGGGTCAACGCATGAAAGGCCGAAGCCCTGCATGAGGGGTCAACGCATGAAGGGCCAATGCCCCAGCATGAGGGGGTCAACGCATGAGGGGCCAGCCAAGGCCCCAGCATGGGTAGTCAGGGCATGAGGGGTCAACGCATGAAAGGCCGAAGCCCTGGCATGAGGGGTCAACGCATGAAGGGCCAATGCCCCAGCATGAGGGGGTCAACGCATGAGTGGCCAGCCAAGGCCCCAGCATGGGGGTCAGGGCATGAGGGGTCAACGCATGAAAGGCCGAAGCCCCGGCATGAGGGGTCAACGCATCAAGGGCCAATGACCCAGCATGAGGGGGTCAACGCATGAGGGGCCAGCCAAGGCCCCAGCATGGGGAGTCAGGGCATGAGGGGTCAACGCATGAAAGGCCGAAACCCTGGCATGAGGGGTCAACTCATCAAGGGCCACTGACCCAGCATGAGGGGGTCAACGCATGAGGGGCCAGCCAAGGCCCCCAGCATGGGTGGTCAGGGCATGAGGGGTCAACGCATGAAAGGCCGAAACCCTGGCATGAGGGGTCAACGCATCAAGGGCCAATGACCCAGCATGAGGGGGTCAACGCATGAGGGGCCAGCCAAGGCCCCCAGCATGGGTGGTCAGGGCATGAGGGGTCAACGCATGAAAGGCCGAAACCCTGGCATGAGGGGTCAACGCATCAAGGGCCAAAGACCCAGCATGAGGGGGTCAACGCATGAGGGGCCAGCCAAGGCCCCCAGCATGGGTGGTCAGGGCATGAGGGGTCAACGCATGACCGGATTGCCTGTGTCACCCCGCTGGCGTAACTCCAGAGGGCTCGGGTGAGATGCTCTCCGGAGATCGACGGTCTCCTTACAGGCGCCCCGTGCGTCCTCACCCGACTACCCCACAGAAGCCCTGCGCACCATTGGCACGGGGAGGAGGAGGAGGAGGAGGAGGAGGAGGAGGAGGAGGAGGAGGAGGAGGAGGCGGAGGCGGCGGAGGAGGAGGAGGAGGAGGAGGAGGAGGAGGAGGAGGAAGGAGGAGGAGGAGGAGGAGGAGGAGGAGGCGGAGGAGGAGGAGGAGGAGGAGGAGGAGGAGGGGGAGGAGACATCCTGATCCCTCCCCGCCCCCCCCTTCCTCCCCAGGCCGCCAGCCCCTCGGGCCCTGGGGCCCGCCTGCTCCAGCTCCGTCTGGACGTACCGCTTGACGTGGTTGAGGCTCGGCGCCTCCGCAGGCCGCGGCGGCGAGCAGCGCGGACAGGGGGGGGGGAACTGGCCGAGGGGGGGGGGGAAACCTCGACCTGGAGTCGGCGGCAGATCGCCGGTAGTGAAGGGGCCCTGAGACACACAAATGAATACACACAAATAAAAAACATTCCCCACATTTTCCCATGTTTTCTGGGTTTCTGTCTTCCCCCCCACTGCCCATATTTTCCCATATTTTCTGGGGAATCGACGATTAATTGTGTCTGTGTGTTTTTTCGCCTCCTGAGATAGATCGGCGAGAAACCCACGAGGGCGAATCCGCACGCTCCTGGGCGGGGTGGGGCGGGCAGGCTCCATATCGGCGATCCGTGGGCGAGCGGGGGTCGATGCGCTCCCCCCTGAGCGCCTCTCCCCCCCCTA